ATTAAACTGTTTCAATATACAAATAGCTGAAGAAATGTCGATTGAAATCTGATCAATAAATAAGAACCAATAAGTGGTTATTTCTAAAATGTGTATTGAGCAAATACGCGCATCCAAAAGTGGAGCAAGTTTTTGTCAGTAAACTGCCGAACGCAATAAGGACTAGTTATTAAATGTTCATGAGAAAAAGTTTTGGTTTTCTTTCACAAATGCAACATGTGACATGAGCTTGTCCAACAGTGGCTTTTTGTAAAGAAACACCTGCCTACCAAATTGACTGAAACGTCATAGTTTAAGCTCAAACACAAGTAAAGCCAAGGCTTCGGATTGTACCACTTCATCATAGCTACATAACGGACTTTTTATGAGATTTGTTTGTGGTGTTGCCTCTTTACGCAAGCTTGTTTAAATTGGTCACTTGAAGATAGTTCAACTAATTTGAGGACGACATGCATGATAAGACTATTCCATTCGTGTCGCTTCTTAACACTCCATTCTAGATTAAAGAGAGGAATAGAGCTAATTGTCCGATCCATCTATTGTCACACATTTTACTAAGATTTTTGCTCAATTATGATATAATTATCTAAGAGGGATACATAAACTGTTTAAGATTGAACAGTCTGTCAAGAAAACGCAATCATTATTGTAGTACATGGCTGTAAAAAACAGCCGTAAAAAAACTTTGCATCTGCGATTACTAGTAAAAACTAGGGATTCCGTTATAAAATACGGCACTCACTATACGAACTGTGCAGTTGTCCGTTTAGGGCTCACATATGAGCCCTAAACGGACAACTGCACTGAAACTGGTAAGACTATAGTCTTACCAGTTTCAAATATACAAAACTTGAGCGCATGCAAAGTCTCAAATTCTGACTATCGCAAATGGACATGTGAACCATATTTTTTCATTATCCTGTTTGCAAACTGTTCATTAATCTCTTACACAGTTATTAGGGGCATAGATTTAAAGGTTGGCTTTCGATTTCAACCCACCTCTTTTGAAAGTCTGGTGAACAAATCGCCTCCACGAACAAATTCAAGTATAAGGTATATTTTGCCTTCAGTCTGGAATGCTTTCTAAATGAACGAGGAAAGGAAGCAAACCATAATGCAAATTGACGATAAACGGGTGCTTGATTTTCACCAGAATGTCACGTTCCATTTTAGAGCGCATTTTATCTTTTACTAAGCAGATGAGTGTTAACAAATTTAGTGTTACACTTTAAAACTGCCTTTTTCAGCACTTTCATTGCATATATTTTCTGGGCATCGCGCCCGTTAATCTTCCTGACAAGAAAAACCTAAATACCGTTTAGAAAATCTCTTCATTGAACCTTTCCAAAGGACCCTTGGCCAATGACGGAAATCAGCTCGAAGTCGCCTGGTCCAACCTTATTTTCAGACACGGCAAGGGAGCCAATATCAAGCTCCGTGTAATTTGTGCCATTTTCCTGTAATCATTATTTTTGTAAACGGATTCATTACTTGTTTCTCGTCAGCGAATTCTCCGAGGGATATAAACTAAAGAAAATTAAGGAAATTAAATATTTTACGCCATTCTCTGTCTTTTCTGGAAATGGTTCAATAAGAGGTGCCAACGGCATCGCCAGAATTCCCGCGACTGTGGTTTCAAGGCCGAGTGTCGAAAGCACGAATCAACTGCTAGT